CCGACACCCATTCTATTAATATGTTTTTTTTTTTTATATTTTTTTTAAATTTATGTTTTAATTAATATCTCTCTTATATAATTTTGTTTTTTTTTCTTATATAACATTTTTAAGATATAGAATTTTTCAATGGTGTTGTGTGTATTTGATTTTTGAAAAGACTATTCTTATTTATCTATAATTGTTTTTAATTTTTTGTATATATTAACCTTATTTTTTAAATAAAAAATATTTATTTTCAGATAATATTTTTAATATGTGATTCCTTACATAATATAGTTTTCTCCATTTTATTTTATTTAATCAATTTAATGTATAAGTCTATTTCTATTATTATTTGATTACATTAAAAAATATTTTTAATAAAAAATTCAATAAATACATCCAAGTAAATATTATATTTTAAGATTAAATATCTGAATTAATGAACATCTCTTGATTATTTTTTTAGTTTTATTTTTAGTTATTATTAATATTTTTTTTTGTTTATTAACACATTTCTTGATTTATTTGATTCTATATATGCATAATTTTTTTTATTTGATCTTGGAATTTTTTTTTATATACAAAAACTTCGTTAGATATAAAATATTTTTTCTAAAAGAAAAAAGTATTTGGCTATAGTTATTAATAAAAAAGACACTGAATAAAAAATAAATTTGTTATGATGATTTTTGATTTTTTTTTACCATTAACGGAAGCTCCAACCTATCTAAAAAGAATTGTTACTGAATTTTTATTCAGTGCTTTCTTGTGTGTGGCCACAGTTTTCTTCCGTCCCAAAGCTCATACCTTTAAGGCTACTGAAGTTATCAGTTAAACTGTCCACATAGCAGTCTTAAACTAGTCAGGCACTGTAAATCTAACTCCAACAAACATCTACAGCAGAAGCTTATGCAGTCACAGAGAACAGAAGATTTTGAGATTTTGGAGAACTCAAACCTGAAAGCTTTTTTAACACGAACAATTCATCTCTTTTTTAAGGATCTTTACGGCTTCCATGACTCCATCCTGCAAGTTGGCAAAAAAAAAAAATCTTAAGGTAAAGCTTGGATTTCAGCACTTCATTCAGAATAAGGAGGTTAACGTGTAAGAAGTTCTCATACTTGACTCAACATTCGCAATAGTTGAGAGAGCAAAAATACACAATTAGAGAGCATTCAGTTTAGTTAGCCTTTGGTTCGGAGTACAAGATGCTAGGACAGGTACGAGACAGGAGTGGGATGTTTTTGGTTTGTCCCACAGTCTCATCCCTGCTATCCCTGCCCCCAGCATCCAACGCTACCTAAAGGATTAGTTGACAGAGTACAGGCAGCAGGTCTGATAAATGCCAAAAGTGTGAATTGCGGAGCTTGTCTCTGTCTGGAGACAAATCCACAACTCATCAACAGTCTATCAGCAGCTGGAGATCCCAACTATTGCTAATCTACAGCCACGGGAATTAAGCAATGGTCTGAACCAATTTGCAAGCGTGTAGACGGGGTTATCTCACTGAGTGACGTCTTCAGGTACCTGCTGGGGATATAGCTTAGATGTAAAGCAATTTGCATGCTGTGGTGACATTGGAGAGGACCACATTCTTTACTCATTGTTCTCTTAGGCTGGAAGGGCCCCCTGATAGGAAATTGAAAGAGCTAAAAAGAATTTGTAAATTGGGAGCCTTCCATTTCTCTCCCGTTTAACCTGATGTTGTCTTTAAACCCTCTTGTTTTTATATTTTAAAAATATTTTTAAAAAAAATTAAAACTTCTTTTAAAAATATTTTTAAAAATAATTAAAACTTTTCAAAATAATCTAAAAAAAAAAAATATTATTTTAATACATTTTCAAATAAAATAACACTTTAAAAAACAATAATAATCATACTTTCATATAAATTCAACTCCACCAACCCAGGGGCTTTAAAAAACAATAATAACCATACTTTCAAATAAATTCAACTCCACCAACCCAGGTAGGGTCTTGCCGTCAGCCAAAAACATTAGTACCAAGTCAAGACCTATAGCAATCACTTAACCATGAAACGAGAATTGGATTATTTACCAAAACACTGCTAAGCTATAAACAGTATATATTTAAATGGTATTTAGTATTGTGATAGTGATTGCTTTTTAAAATATTTTGTATTTGGAAATATATTCAAATAATATTTTTTTATTTTTAAAAATATTTATTTTTTACATTAACACATCAAAACAATTTAAAAGAAATTAATTTGAAATAAAAAAAAATAATTTGTTTTTAAATCACAGCCCAGCAGTGAAAACAAACAATGCCTTAGCAAATGGGTACTACTTTTTGAAGACTTCCATTATGTACCCATAACCCTGTGGAGAAATGGTAAAACTATTTATCTTTCGGCTTTAAATCAAATGGTATGCAGTTGACATGGTCCACAAGGTCTTAGATTACAACTTCAGCAGACAAAATATAGGTCTATATAATTGGTGTTTCAATAAGTGAATTATTGCAGCATAGAATACGAGCAGGAAGATTTTGGTATAAAACCCATAATATATCCCTATCACTCATAGATATATAGCTTTATAGATTTAAAATATATGCAATTTCTTTAAACACTTCACCAGCAATGTGATCAAAAAACTGAAGAACATGCATTACCTCAAGAGAAATTCTCTCCGCAATTTCCAAAGCACGTGCTTTGATGTTTGGAGACAGGGCATCATTTATGGCCCTTGATAGAAATTTTGCAGCCATTCTGATGCTCGCATCGTCCAGTTTATCTGGAATCAAATGGCTTCTGTTTAATGGTTCTGGGGAAACTCCAATCCAATACATCTTCTCAGCCCAATAAAACTGATCCAGTATAAATGGACATAATACCTGCCATCTAAAACTCTAATCAATTGGTTGAGAGAGACAAAAGGTGAGAGATTAGTGAAGATAATCATTGATGAAGCACAAAAGAAAATTTGACCAGCCTTGTCTTGCTTCTTTTCCCTTCATGGATTAATCTTCCGGTGGGTTAAAAATGATTTCAAAATTATTGGATTTGTTTAAGAGAGCTGACAGCATTGAAAAGCAGACACACCAATAGTATATATTAGCATTGATCTTCAAAGTCATGAAAGCACATATAATTTCTAATGCATGTATGGTATCAAAATTGCAGTACCATATTAGAGTTTAGCATGTTGTAACACTTTTTGGCAAACTAAGGAAATCTTACGAACAACATTACTCTGTATCTTAAATGTGTAACCTAGCTGAGAGACATTGATACCAATTCAGCAAGATCAATATGAAGAGTGAGCAGACAAGAAGGGAAGATTGCTTCTAAGCAGACAAAAATATTGCGTTGCAATCCATTTGCAGGGTTTTGCTTAACAATTGATGGATAGTTGCAAAAAAAGTAAATGACAAATAACAGAAAGTCAGGAGAGCTGCTCAAGCACCAGGAACTGAGTCTAGAATGAGGTTTCTGATCATGGGCTCGCTTTCTCTTACCAAAGGTTTAATCAAAGAGTTTTC